GTTCTTAATTATAATTTTCAAATTATTAAATTAGTAAATAATTAAAGAAGTAATCTTAAAAGTCTCTTTAGATAGCAACAGCATCCATTGTGGTTCTAGGAGTTGATGTCACAGCTAATCAGGATGAAATCTCTGGGCACGAAACCTTTCAACTAGAATTTGATCGTGTTACAAAAAGATGGTATGTGCGTACCATGCAAGATCGTTACTGGAGTCTTGAAGCTGGAGGAGGAATTCAAGCATCAGAACACAAGCGTTCTTCTAATGCTTTGTTTGATTTAATTTGGCAATCGGAGGATGGTACAGTAGCCTTACGTGCAAACAATGGAAAATTTTTAGCAACAAAGCGTTCTGGACACCTGTATGCTAATGCAGATTCTGTAAATGGATTGGATTCAGATGCTAGCAAATATTATTTCTATTTGATGAATAGACCTGTTTTAGTATTACGTTGTGAACAAGGATACGTAGGGCCTAAAAGTGCAACTAGTTCAAAATTAGAATGCAATAAAGCTATCTATGAGACTATCGGAGTGGAAAGATGTGAGCGTGGAATCATGAGATTCAAAGGTAAGACTTATTCATTAATTTTCTTTATGCTTTTCTCAATGTGGAAACTAAAAGTGGTAATTGTCCTTAAGATAATTTACAAAAAAAAATTACTGGTTCAAAAATTTTAACAATTTTTTTCACACGAAAGAAAATGTTTTATTCTTTTATGAAGCCATCTGCTTACCTTTATAATAATTTAGAAAAAAAGAAAAGCAAGAGTGTTATTTAAGTAGACATTTAAAGTAGACTATAATAACAGTTATTTTTCAAGATTTTATTATTCTCAGAAACAAATATATTTTTTAAAATTAAGTATTGTCAAAACTTAACTTTGCATATCACTAAATTCTCATATCTTACCAAAATGAATATTGGTTTAATTACTTTTGAAGTTATGAAACGAAAGTAAATTTTCTTATAATAAAATAAAGCCTTGTAACTATTGATATTCTTTTCCCCATTGATAACACGATCGTTTATATTTTCTTTAACGTAATAACAAAAATGCTTAAAAAATTATAACAAACATGTTTACAATTTAAATTGTTAAAATTCATAATTGCTTCTAACAGTAATTCAAAATGTTTCATCTGTGAAATATGAAATCTTATTTAAATAGTTGTTTAAATTTAGAAAACCTACCTCTTTATTAAGTAAGTTTGTATCTTAGGTCAACATGGCAAATATTGGCATACAGACAGTGAAGGAGTAACTGTAGATACTGACGTACCTTCTAATGGTTTTTACCTGGAATTACGAGAACCATCCCGTATTTGTATTAAAGATACGGATGGAAGATATCTCACTGCAGGGAAGAATGGAGCATTGCGTCTTAGAGAAACAGATTATAAATCTGCTACAAAATGGGAATTTTAATTAACCAAATGATCATTTTTAAGCTGTGTTCTTTTAAAACTTTGTTCGCGTCAATTTCTTCTTTTATACATTTAAGAAAGTAATATTTAACACAAATATACTCAGAAAAAAGATAAACATTTGAGAGAAATAATTCGTTACACAATGTATCATCTCCTATTTTTTTATTTATGTATATTTTATTATAAGAAATGAAAAAATGAAAAAATTATGATAAAACATATAGATATTAGATTGAAGTTTTAAAAGAACATAGCTAAAGTTCATTGTTCTCTTTATAGCTTCGAGTGTAATCTAATATGATATTCACAAGTACGGAAAAAGCTCCTATCGAGTACTTAATTAGGAGTACATTGTCGAATTAATTTTTTACGATTTTTTTGTACTTCTAACTACGACTTTTTCTATTCATAAAATACCGTATAAGACTGATCATTCGCATATTTGCAGAATAATTAGCGGTTATTACATCGTACCCTAATAATTTAAGGAAAGATTCAACATGATCTATTATTTTGTGACGATAAACTAATTGAATAATAGTTAGTCATGTAAATTAAAATTTATTTTCTTTTTTTTATTTAATGTGTTATTTGACATTATTTATTTTTCAATATTTAGCACTTAACCGA